GTCTATTGACGAATTTCAATTCAATTCGTATTTTAATTTACAGATGGAGGTCTTCTGGGTTGTTGCTCCACGTGGTCTTTGGCCGCGTACCTCTCGGAAAAAAATCGGCTGAAGAGTGGAGCGTTAGGACGTGAACGGTGGAAACAGAGGAGGAGGATCAGGTCAGGAGAACTGCCCTATATAAACCATTAACTTCCTAACAATCACCACTTTAGACCTGAAGGTGGAAGCAGCACGTTCGTTTGAAACGTTTATGGCCATTTCATCAACCAGGGCTGGAATTAAAAGTAAAAATAAATTTCAGGAATAACAGTAAAAGGATGAAGGCAAAATGTTAAATCTATGAGATAAAACGGATATAGCACGTTGACCTTTTTGGTGACATTAACTAATTTGGCGTCTGTGAAATGTCAGTGGTTTGATTGCTGGGGAACAGATGTAAAGCATACACACACGCGGAAGTTGTATTATGAGCTAATCTTAAAGCACCAGATTTTGATATATATCGGGTGAGCACAAAAAGGCTGTACACTTTCAAAATGATACAGAAAAAAAATGCAGCGTATTTAGAACTTTACACCTACACCAGTCGATAGAAAAAACCTCGGAGTTTTGTACACACCTCGCAGATACTCGAAATGTGCTCCGCGAGTCACACGGCAGATATCGAGACGATAATCCAACTCGTCTGAAACTCTGCAGTGTCCCTAGTGATGGAAGCTATGGCAGTTGTGATTCGCTGCAACTCAAACAAAGACTACGGCGTGAATAGACACCCAGCTGGGTGGTCCCAAGTGAAAGTGTGTGCGAAATAAACGTCGCACAGTTGTTACAGGCTTTGTCTTCGCTAACTGCAGAACACACTGTTGTGGGGGTTGCCATTTTCGAAACTAGTGGCACCTAGCGGAGACGCGGAACAATAATCACCCGGGTCATTATAAACAACACAACAGTTTTTTGTATCAACTGGTGTGGGTGTGAAGTTCGAAGTACGCCCCGTTTGTTTTCTATATAATTTTCAAAGTGTAAAGTTCTTTTGTGCTCATCCTGTATTAATTTATTTTATATATATATATATATATATATATATATATATGTGTGTGTGTGTGTGTTTTAAGTACACAAAGTCGACTGATGTCTTAAAGGGTTAAAATATGCCCTTAACTCCCTGGATTCGTCATTTATAACAAAATTATTAAGCATTTCTGATTTTCGCCAAGAACAAACGATGCGCTTAGCAATTATAAGGACATTATGAAAGAAACAAACGAAAGATCTGTACACGTGCCCACTATTTCGCTCCATACCAGAATTCTGTCGGCGATCGTTTTAGCGATGAACAAATTTTCAAATTATGGTTCCCATATTTACAGATGTCCTTGCATAACAATGTGTTCACGGGGTGTAACGCATTCTTATGGATATAATGTGTGGTTACGAAAGTGGTACAGCCAAAGGAAGTGATTTAAGCTGCTTACAGGCCTAGCTTGTTCATTGCGTGTGTTTGAAGAGCGATTTTCAAACTTGTATAAGCGGCTTTTATTGACATATAAATATTCTTTAATGACATTCACTGATAAAATTTAATTTCCACAAGCACCCGGAAAATATATTTCTATATTTTTTTTATTTTCCAGTTTAATTTCTTTAAACCCATTTTTTTTAGTCTTTACAATGTCATTCAGTTTCATTGTCTACTTCAACAAATACTTCCAATAAAATGTTAGATCCTGCAATTGTACCCAGTAGCGAAATAAAAATTACGCAATCTTATACACATAGGCTCCATAAAGACATTTTTATTACAGATATCTACTATAAAAAATTGTGATTAGTCGTTGTCGTCAACCAATTTGTCGTCAAAAAATGACGTCATCAACAATAACACCTTATATTTGTTTATACATGGCATTGTTGTGGAACAACAATACCGAGTAAACAAATAACGCTTAGTACCAAGCCAGTCGCATTATCACTGCTCTACAGGCAGCACGTCGCCACCGAACAGCGAGATAAAACTATTTAAGAAATTAAGAAAAGTGAAAGAAGACGTTATCAAGTATTTGAAGTACGAACTCCAAAAAGTGATACTCATTCGATATATTACGATAACGAAAACTATTATGAAAGCTGACTTTATGATCGATTTTAAGACGAAGATTTGCAAGGGTGGGGCTGGACGTAAAAAGTTGACTGAACAAGAACTGTTGGCGGGAGGGGTAGTTTAGTTTCTTACTCAAGTGTTTTAACCCCCATTCGGGGTGGTTAGTTTAGTTTCCTACCCAAGGGTTAAAACATTTGAATGAGACACTAAACCCGAAGGGGGGGTTAGTTTAGTATGTTACTTAAGATTTTAAGATTTTTGAACACTTGACCAACTCCCCTTCGGGGGATTTGCCAAGTGTTTAAAACAACAACAGTTAAAATAACTGACCAACCCCCCTTCGGGGGGTTGGTCAGTTGTTTTAACCCCAATTCGGGGGGTAGTTTAGTTTCTTACTCAAGATTTAAAACACTTAATGAGACACTAAACTAACCCCACCGAAGGGGGGTTGGTCAATTGTTTTAAGCCTCCATTCGGGGGGTGGGTTGTTTAGTATTTTACACAAGGTTGGTTGCGTTTTAAAAAATCGACACCCCCCCCGGGAAGCTCCGAAAGGAGCGTTCTGCTCTAGTTGATCATAAAACACTCAAGTGGAATTCCTAATTGCGTTTGTAAAACGAGTTTATTTCGCGAACTTTACGTCAAACTTGTATCGGGATGTGGTTCATCAGGCCCGACCATATTCTATCTTACTGTAATCTGTACGTTCACACTGGAAGTCAATGTTCGCTCGTGCTTTGCAATTACTGTCACATTATTTAAATTTATCATTTTGTATTTTTCAGATAGCCATCTTAAAGTTGTTAAAGGCTTGTCCTCGGCTTCGTAATTAAGAATTATACTTGGTTAAGGTCACCTACTTATCTACGTAACCTGTTTTTTTTCTCATTGCACGACAAGAATGTTTGAATATTATGCACCATAAAACATGTTCGCTTTCTTACCAGCTGGAAAATGACCATTACTCCCAGTGTGGTAATAACGTGACATAATAATCTCATCTCCGTTGACCTATATTTTTGCGTTCTGCTTGAGATAACCCACAAATATTAAAGTTTTATTATATAGGCCTACATGTAAGTGTAAACGTGACAATTAAAATATGCAAAACTGTAATTTTACGTGTTGTTTTATAAAGGCGTAAAACTTGCCTATTCATATTACGGGACGAAAATAGATCGAGGGCCTTTAAGAACACAGTGAATAATAGAATATTTGGACCTAAATGGGAGATAGTAACATGAGAATGGAAAAAAACTTCATAATTTGTTTTCCTCGACAAATATTATTAAGATTTTCAAATCAAGGATCATGAGATGGTTGGAGAATGTGACACGCATAGGAGACATGAGTGTATTAGCAATTTAACGACGCTTTCAGTAACTCTGATTATATGGCGTCGAATTAGAGGATGAGTAATGGATAACGAATTTGGAAGGATGTAGTGACGTAAGGTGGTATACTATCCTTTCATGTTTGGAGAAAGACCTAAGCGTAGATAGAAGGATAATATTAAAATATCTCTTGGGGAAATGGTTTGGGGTATGGACTGGATTCATGTGGCCGAGGATAGTGTCCAGTGGCGGGATTTTGTGAACGTGGTAATGAATTTTTTGACTTTGTGAAAGGCAAGGAACTTATTGACTAGCTGATGATCGTACTGTTAGTTTCACAAGAGAGATTCTGCTGTATGGAGTTCAACCTACGACTAGGTCTTCGATGTCAATGAAAGGACCCAAGTTATTAAAGAAATATAAAGTTATGAGCAGGGGAAGTTATGGCAATTAAAGTCATTTCAGTCAGCCTGTGTCCTGAATATATAAGAAGCATTAACAATTCAGTCAACATGGACCCAAGTACCGATCAACTTTGGCGTTATCTTCAAACGGGCCACGACCATTTCTCTGCCCATTCCGTTCAAAACGTCATTAACTCTCATTTAAAATTCACACATGGGTTTCAAGAACACGGAATCTGTTACGCTTATTCCCAATAAGAACAACACCGATGCTGTTTCTCCTTATAGGTTACTTTATAACCTGAAATCTGAATCGGATTTTAAATAATTGTTTGTCATAACCCATTAATAAAACTTACAGAATAAACGTAGGCCACTGTATCGAACATTTACCAGTTCTAAGAGTCAAAAACTACAGCATTAAAAGAAACATAGCCTATTACAGATTATTTTAGAAATTAAATGCCACACGATTTTTTTTTTGAAAACAAAACAGTCCTTCAGTGAATACAAAAAAGAGGAATATTGTAATTAATTACCACTAAAATATTACGATTTATTTCCAAAATAATTTGAAGGTATAAGCTCCGAATGATGGAAGGACTTTGTACACGCCAGTTTGCCACACATAAAAAAGAATCTGTCTTCACATCCAGTTTGTTAGAAGGAAATACTAATAACAAATTGTTCTGGGCTTCTCTGGTGTAGAAAACATTTCCCGACAAAATGTCACACGAGTGTTTTGGTGCTGCGAAGTTACACTGCATAACATACCTTCATGAGGGCGAACCGCTGGTCGTCGGACAAGTTGAGGGACGGAGCCATGACGGATGTGTGTGAAACGTCTCAAGACAGTGCGATGACTGCAGTCGTTTATCTGGCGGTCCGGTTCCACGACCCGTCGTCAGTACCAAGCTATTAGTCGTTCGCTCAGACATGAGCTATGGATCGGCGCGTAAGGGAGGGTACTGACGCTGTCTCCTAGTGATAGTGGGGAACGGAGGAGAACACTTTTCTCTGTACTACTGAACACAAAAACATCAATGCAGACTGAATTACTTACAGCGGCTGAAGATATTTTACAAAGCTTCTATTCCACTTAATTCCCCATCATCTTCTTCTGCATCTTCTTCCTCCCTCTCGTTTTCCTCACTACTGCTACAACTGTTGGTAACACTGCCATCTTGTTAATTAACTGTAATTTGTTCCGAAATGTCGTCAAGAACAGGTTCCAACCGCAAGTAATTCTGTTCGCACTGACGGGATTTGTTGCACCTCGAGGTCCATTCTTCCTTTGTGATGCTACTAAACTTTTCCTCAGCTAGTTTCATAGCATCATCTAGACGGAAACTGACATTCTTTCTGGCGACATATTCTTTGACCAATCCCCATATCAGTTCAATCGGATTCAGATCTGGATGATATGGCGGCAAGCGAAGGGCAGAGTGGCCATGTTCAGACAGTAGAGCGTCAATTTTGAATGTTTTGAATCGTGGCTTACGCAGTTTAATTAGAGAATACAATTCGGGCTTACACATTCCGTCACTGAAAGGAATGCTACGATCTTGTGAGGTGTGCTGAATTCTTTTCCCACTCGTTTATTATGTTCGTACTCTTTCAGAATGCGTTTCAGAGTACTTATGGACACACCAGTAGCTTCAGAAACACGATTTTGTATTTGATTAACGTTAATCACATTGCCGCTGTCCGCTTCTTTCTTCATAAAACTGTAAACACTTATCACCATTTCTCTACTTTGGCTGTGTATTACTTTACGTCCCCCTATTTTCTTTACACCTCTGCCCACGCTTTGCATTCTGTTCGTGCTGAGTAGAAACAGCGATGAATATGAAATGCCTATTAAAAATGGGTCAATGTTTTTGAAATGGAATTTACCACACGAAGTGAACTCGGTCGCTTCTGCCTTGCAACTGAGCTCTGAGTTCACCCCACCCACTGTTCGGGGTGGAAATGCACTGCACATCTCAAGGCCATAGCTCATGTCCTAGCAAACAGCCTATACCTCGATGTCTGATAGTTGCCTTGTTCTCCGCTATCACTCATTCGCGCTGTCGTTGACTTCTTGCCACACTTCTCACTACCTTGCCTTTGCCGTCCCTTTCTTTAACACACCGAAAATAATATATTTGTGAAGTAACCATAATCCTGATGTTAGTAAAAAGATATTTCATTATAGTTCCGTGTCTAAATTTGTTTCAGGACACTGTATAATACCTATCTTTGTCGTGAAAATTGCTACGACATCCGTGTCAATGTCTGTGTCAATTTGTATTCATGTGTCGTATGTTGTTGAGTGCCACACAATGACATCTGAAATAACTGGCGAATTTTAATTACGTTTCGAACACAATGCCTTTAGAGGATAACTATCTAGGAACTAATTATCTGTCAACATTACCAATATAAGAGCATGTATATTTATAAATGGAAGAAACACTCCATTTCATTTAGGGTCCTTAAGTTGTATGTCTGGATTAAAAACGACAAACATGACCACGCGAAGTCACAGAACTTTGAAGATATGTGTGATAACTTTCAGGTGTCAATGTATGCGTGCATAAATATAAGAAACTGTGCGCATTGTATAAATTTATAAACCTATGATATATTCTTGTCCTTGAAAGAAAATTGTGCATCGCAAGGTCTTACACAGTTAGGATGTGGCACTACAGTTTTTTAACTAGATTGTCACTGAATGACATACTTCACAGCTTTTGTTTATCATTCAGATCTACATGATCTTTGTTTCCCTGAATGTGACTTTCATTTAATCATTTAGATAAACACTAGATTAGCATACGTGATAGCTCGCAACTTTTTGCGATAAACAATTGTAGTTAATTTCCAAATATATTCTCTAACTTTAAGCCTCAGAGCAAAATTGTGTAGAAATACATAGACTGTAAGTAAATAACTTCACAAGATGCTCGTTGGCTGTTTCATTTTAATGAATAGCAAACCTTTTAAATCTAGTCCACTTATAATCAGCGAAATGATAAAATTTGTAAGAGATGAATGACCGATGACGAACGGCGAGTAAATGAAGGAAGTTGTAAGTTACAAACCTGTCACACCTCTGCTTTGCCCACCATATTACCTGTAACTGGAATCCAGTTCCGCCTAGCGGAAGACTTCTGTATTAACAGACTGTGTAGCGGTCCCATGTGTTCACGTCTCTAGCAACCCGTATTTGTGTCAAGTACGAGGTGCGATCGGAAGGTTTCAAGACTGCGCGTATAAAAACCCGTACACTTATCTCAGGTATTAAATTCATCCATCACCCTCGAAGTAGTTCCCCTGGGAGTGAACACAACGATCCCAGCGCCGCTGCCAAGCCTGGAAGCATCCCTGGAAATCTTTCTTTGCCAGCCTGTCAAGCACCATCTGCGATTCTGCCTCAATCTCTTCTATCGTCTCAAATCTCCATCCCTTTAGCTGAATTTTCATCTTTGGGAAGAGGAAGAAGGCACACGGCGAATAAGGAGGGTGCGGGATGACGGCCATGGTGTTTGAGGCCAAAAACTGCCGAACTGCTTCTGGTCCTCAGACAGGAGCCTTGGCACAAACTTGGCTGCGATGCGTCGCATGTGGAGTTCTTCCTTTAGAACCAGCTGCCAGGTCCCATAGCCTATCCCAACAATGTCGCACAAGTCGTTGATGGTACGACGTCGATCTTCGTAACATTTTCGGGCGTTGTGCTCGAAGATGGTCGTCCAGAACGCTCGTCATCATCGACAGAGGTTCGGCCATTTTTAAAACGTGAATGCCACACAAAAGTTTGCGGACTCCCCAAATGCTTGCTTGAGGGGATGCTTCCAGGCTTGGCAGCGGCGCTGGGATCGTTGTGTTCACTCCCAGGGGAACTACTTCGAGGGTGATGGATGAATTTAATACCTGAGATAAGTGTACGGGTTTTTATAGGCGCAGTCTTGAAACTTTCCGATCGCACCTCGTACGACAAAAATAGAATGCTTTTACAAATGTTTCTTATTACTACTCGCATGAGTTAAGATGTCTGTACGAGTTTTAACTTCGTTGTGTTTTATTTTTTTTAAGTTAAATGGAGCCTAAATTTTCGTTCTGATTAAGACAATGGTTTCATGGCATGATATTAAGGGACAGGGATAAGTAGGTACAGTAAAGCGTCCCGATATGTGCCTATGTAGGCACTTGGGGTGAGAGGAGGTATAGCTCCTACTGTTTCTTGACCTCGGCACCAGATGGGGGCGAGTGGTCAGCATCACGCCCCGGCCGGCTTTACCCACGGGAAAGTATCCCCTGTACCCATTGTAGAGGAGGCTGGGTGGGCCCCAGAGCCAGTCTGGACGCAGAGGCTAGAGGACAAATCCTCTGCCCCCGTCGGGGATCGAACCCCGATCGCCCGAAAGGGGCAGGGATAACTTTACGTATTTATCTCCTGCGTACTGATAACCAATTACATGGAGCAGAATCCTTGAGAAGCATTAGCTCAGGTACGGTGATACACAGTTCAAATAAAAGTTAGGGAAGCTCATCTTTAAGAGTCATTTCCTATTTCACGTATGCAAAGAAGGATTTGTGAACGGTGGAAGTCTGTTTACAATCCCGTCTAATGATATGAAGGTTGCCACGAAGAACGTTCAACCTGGTTTTATGTTTTTCATACATTTTATAATCAGAAGAGTCAGTACTTTACAATCTGCCACACTACCATATGTGTAGGGCATACTTTACACTAAACATTCCGCTTAAAATCGTAGGCTAGTCCTTAAGAATCAAAACCAATTCTCTTTTTAGTTGCCATTGCTTTATCTAAATATAAATTTAACGCCAAACTTTTAAGGATTTTTCTGTGATTTCCATTGGTACACACTAAATATATCCCGCAAAACTGTAAAGAATCTTTCTATGTAGTATTAAATGTCTGTTTGCTTAAATAAAGTTGCTAAAATTAAAAACCAATGAATTACTACAAGAAACATAAAACATCTAGGGCCTATATCACTTGTAGATTGTTTGATGGTTAATTATTAATTTTTAAATGGCTGTTACTGATTGTTGTTACGATATCGAACACTTGCAATAAACATATGAATCCACAATATACAGAGAAAATATCTCTGTAAAGAAATCGTGCAGAATGTGATATTAGGTTGTTTATAAACTGACATATTTCGTAATATTTTTAGGGAAATATATAAATTTACAGTCTTTAATATTATAATAATATCTAAACAAAACCGTAATTAACACATTTAAGATAAATACATAAAATAAATATTTATTTATTTACTTTTTGAGTGCCCGCAGTGTTACTGTGGGAAGATTCGAGAAACGTTAACATTTTGTCATACCTTCTTGCCCGAAAGCATGACATAGGCGTGATCATTAGACACGCTGGTCTATCGTTGAATATTATAAAAAATATAATCCCTACTGGGTTACTGGGAACGACCCGTTCTTCAAGTGCCTGAGCACTGCGGGTCCCAACTTTTCGTTGGCTCGATCTATAGACATTCGGTAGGACTCCTTGGGCGAGGGATCGGCCCGTCGCAAGGCCTCTGCCTGTACACAGGACAGCACAACACAGAATAACGCGGACAAACATCCATGGCTTGAGTGGGATTCGAACCCACGGTCCCAGTGACCAAGTGGCACAAGGCCCACACCTCAGACCGCGCGGCCACTGCGGACCCCCATAATCCCTACACTCAAGAGAATTTATCATCACAGTATTATCTAAAGTAATTTGTTCCAAAGATATTAGTCAGGATTCTTTCTTTATGAATATACCGAAATAATGTGCTTCATGTTTGTTACAACATAAATGTGATGAATTGTGAAATGCATTATATAGCGGTAGGTTCATTTACGAAATTAGTTACTATAATCTACTAAGACAGAAGAATATGTTTTAGTAAGAATTTATATTTTCAATTTGTTAATGATGACAGGCTATTTAACATAAAATTTATTAAAATTAATTATTCTTGAGAGTACAAGTGTTGTACGTTCTTATGATGAAAATTCAACACAAAACTTCTTTATAAATGAACCTTGTTTCTTTTTTATTAGTGCCAGTATATGTAGTCCTAGGAATTTATGCACAAACAACATTGAACTTCTTTTAAAGACTGGCGTTGCCGATTATCATGGCAAAATATAGTTTAACGGTAGACTTTAAATTTAAACGGGTAGTTTGACGGTATTTGTCTATGTTACTGGTATTTTGGGAATAAATATAATTTCACTTTTACATATTCTGTTAAAGTTGTGCCTTCTGTTATATTTAACTTGAAGTCTCGTTCCATTATTTAATTTTGGGAGAATATATTTCCCCCGAAAATAACATCTCTAATATTACAACTGTTGTTTCATAATCGTTAGTTAATTTGTCTTGAAACAGTTGTCTTTCGCAAATAGTTTTCAATGCATAGGAAATTCATCTTCAGCCGAACCTTAACCAATAACAGCATTTCGGGGTTTTGTTCTTTGTTCCAGTAAAATCCTCGCCGAAACAAACAACTTTGGTCTTATCGCCGTGCTTAGGTTCCGTGCTACAGTAACTGCCCTCACAGAAAATATTACTCAAAACACTTTTTCGAATTCTTTTACCGTCCTATGTTCTCTTCCTGGTCTCAACGAATAAGCTTGTCAAGTTTAGTGAAAATCGGCAAATCCTTTCTCGAGCTATAAGGGAACAAGCAAACAATTTCAACTTTACATGTAAGACATACGGTTTTTAAAATCACCTCAGAATTTGTTGTACCGAATAATAATCGGTTAATAATAAATTCGGAACGGATATAGACGGAAGCGGATGCAGCCTAATTTAAGGTATTATCCCAGTACATTCCTGGAGAGACCGAGAAATACCACGAAATATCTAGTTCAGGATAGCAAGTCTTCGGGGATAAATTTGAACCCGGGTTCTTCAGAATTCGAAGCAAGATTGCCAACTACTCGCCGAGATATTCAGTAATAAACACAATAAATGTAGGGGCGCTGTAGTTAAGAACGTCTTTCCGAACGTCGGAGCATATTTAAGCCTGAATCTTCACAACAGATTTAATAAGTTTCTGCTTTGTTAGTTTAAGACAAAGAACGCGGGAAGATAAATTTAATATGGATATGAAAATGGGATTTGTTCCAGGTCGTATGCATTGAAGAATTGCTGGTATAAACGGCGTTGAACCTTCGAATCCTGTTATCGGAGTGTCAGTTCGTCAGGCATATTTTGATGTGGTACTCATTCCGATAGTTTGTAGGAAGGCTCTGGTTAGTGTCCTAGACCAAAATCAGTTTTGTCTACAAATAACTACATGTACTACATTATTACTTATTTATTTTATTTTATTTAGTATTCTGTCTGACGACAGGTCCATATGAACAGGATCCTTCCATCCTTTTCTCGGACTGGGACCTGTTCATATACGTTCTTGGCAGATGATCCAGAAGTGGTTTGCCATTGCCTTCTTCTGTGTGTGAATGGAGTAATTGTTGGGATGCCACGGAGGAAAACTCCGTGTTGCCTAGACCACGGCCTTGCCCAACACAAGTTATAAATTCGGGCACCGCCGGGAATCGAACCCGAGACCCCAGGATTATTACCATTTACCCCATGCACAAAATTATTTATGTAAGGCAGAATTATATTTCCTGGTTGCTATAAAAACAACGCAACAGGTTCATTTCAGAGTATGCAGCCACGGCGCCCATAAACGACACAGTCAATTCCTTCTGACTATTAGATTTTGAAGCGAGGAAGCGGACTTCTTAATAATCCCTTCGAGTGAATGTGTCTTAAGTAGAACGTCGCTTGACATGCAAGGCAAACTCTCTGTCTGTGAGAGTGTTGCACATGGCGCTGTTATTATTGAAGTTTCTCTTTGACTCAGCAGCTAAGATATAAGAGATAAAAAAGCTAGATGGTTTATAACATTTTAAGCTGAAAATAGTTTTCGGGGACTTAAGTACTAACCTCGGTTTGAACTGTCGAAGCAACAAGACCTGGCTTGACTTCCTATAATTAAAAACCTGTGAAACAAGTAGTCCTGAAAGAGAAAAGTTACAAGCTACATGTCTTTACTGATATTTCCTGCTTTTCGTGGTTCTTACATTATTA